AAATTGTAACTAAATAAAAAATTGTAACTAAACAAGAAATTGTAATTAAATAAAAAATTGTAATTAAATAAGAAATTATAATTAAATAAGAAATTATAATTAAATAAAAAATCGTAATTAAATAAGAAATCATAATTAAATAAAAAATAGTAATTAAATTAGAAATTGTAATTAAATTAGAAATCGTAATTAAATTGAAAATCATAACTATATAAAACATATGTTACATTAATAGTTTATATAAATAATAGTTTTACAGTGAATGCATTTCCCAAGCTCCATAAGAACCTTGGGTCCACCGTAAGCGAAAACCTTTGTCTGGAGGCGGGTGGATAAACTAGTTGGTGCCTATCAAGTGAATGCATTTCCCAAGCTCCATAAGAACCTTGGGTCCACCATAAGTTAAAACTCCTGTGGTCCAGGCAGGTGGATAAGCTGATAGGAATCTACAGTTCTGGTATATGATCCTCTCTCATCAATCATATATCCTGCATAGTACTTTCAAGCGTGTCAAAATTTTCTTGGTTTTTTCTGGGGAATTTTGCCTACCTCAGTTTGACCCTGAATTTTTTGTTACACCGGAATCTCTGGTTGGTGATTGGCCGAAATCTTGGATTGGTTGATCTACAAGTAAAAGAAATGTAAACAAGACACGTAGCCACACGTGCCTTACGTCGTACCACATTATAATCGATGATGCAATTGGACATAGCGAAAGAGCAAGGTGTCGAGGTGTTCTCTTGATAAGAAGTGTTTGGAAGTCTCCCCCTCCCCTCTTGTGCTGGTTTCTTTTCTCCTCAAGATTAAGGCTCTCATTAGGTTGGTGGTATTGTTGGGTTTTTATTTTACCAGTGCAAACTTTTCTTTTCCCCTTTATTTTTCCCTTTTACCTTCTCCAAAAAATAAAAATTTTTACACCTTAGGACCACAGAGGTTAAGTTGGGGTGAACAGTCTTGAGTGAAGGGCTGGCAATGATATTGAGAATCCACAAGGAACGTGGTTCAAGATAGAGCAACTTTTTTCATTCCCCTTAATCACATCTAGAGGCCAGTGGCTGTTGACGGGTGTGCCATATATAGATAATAAGTTTAACCTTTAGTATAAATCCACCCAATACTTTGTATTGTACCATTTGTACCTCGGGTCAGTACCGATATACCGTGCATACGTAAATAAACTTGAAATATATGGCCTGATTAGGCGTAAAAAAAAAAAAAAAAAAAAAAAAATTATTATCTTGTTTTAATTATTAATGAATTAATATAACTATATTAAAAAATAATATTAAATTAATTGTTAATAATAAAAAAATAAAAAGAAAAATAATTTAATAGCTTTGTTTTGATTTTATATAATATTTTTATAGTATATAAAGTATATAAACATATTTTGATATTAATTTTTTATTTTTTTTATTTTTTTTTTAAGGTGAACATGTATTGATGTGAATCTTTATTGATATATAATATCTAGATATAATATCAAGTGTCTTTTACATATGGAAACATATTTAATTGAAATGATTTACATATTATATCTTTTATATATAGAATTAATATTGCCTATTAACTATTTTTAGTAATAGCTTATCTATCTATCTTTATTAATCCAATTATGCTAACTTATATCTTGAAGGTGGGCCCATACTTTAGATAGGACAAATTTAGAGGATGAGAAATCCTATCACTAGTTTAAACCTATCTTCCTGCTAAATCCAGATTTGTCAACCTTATAGCTACTTGTTGTTTGAAAACTATAGAGTATTATTATAGAGACTAATTTTAGTTATCCTAGTTACCTATTATTATCAATTCTCAGGATACACTACTAGCATAGTATAATATAACCATTCTCATTACCTGTAGTCATGGCATCCTTGCTTGGATTCCTGATTATTCTTGTTTTAGTTTTCAATAGGTTTACTTGGTTTAATGATTTTTGCTTATCTTCTTATTACCTGTGGCTGATGGTCTTGTCTTATGTGACCCATATTTTTAAGCTTGGAGAGTATTAGTATAGGATAGACCTCAAAGTATTAGATTGGGATAGACTGGTTTAGGATTTGCTTTTTTTATTCACATTATGCTATGGAGTCTGTTATGTCAAGGAGAATGAAGTTTTATAGACTTTTATTAGAATTAAACCAGAAGTCTTTTTTTATGCAATCTTTTCTGCTTCAATCTGTTTTCAGCTTACGATCATTAAAAAGACCAGAGGTCTCATCTTCATGCAGCCTAACTGAATTTGGTTATAATTCAGATATTTGAATATGACATTTGTGACAATCTAATAAACCTATAAATAAAGGATAAATTTATATATTTTGCTCCCTGTAGATATTGAACTAAGGATATGTATTTGGAGACCATGGAGCACTACCTACTGTACTATTAACTCATTGGTCTTAATATTAGTTTTTTATTATCAATATATATATATAATTAACTATATAAAGAAAAATATAATTTTAATAATATAAATAATATAAATAAATGATTTATATTAAGAAACTTAACAGACTTGTGAATCTATAGCATAGTGGTTAGTACTTCCAGGTCCAAATCACAAGATATTAGTTCAATCCCAAGTGAAAGTGATTTAAATAGAATTAATATGATATTTGACACTATGATCTGTTAAGCACTATTTCTTATAAAAAGTCTATTCATATATTGATCTAATAGGCATTAAGATTGTGATCTCCAGAAAAGATGTTGTGGTGCAATGATCATCCGGTTAATGCTATAATAATTACCAGAAGCAGGAAAAACAAAAAGATATAAAAGGCATCTGGTTTAGGAAAAAGAAGACTTGGTGATTATTTCTCATAATACCTAATGTCTCTTCCTACAAAGGATACTTCTTCTTGGAAAAGATTTCATAGTCTGGTTTGGATTAAAGGGATACTTAATTTTTAGAAGTTCTATTCATTATAATAGATACTATCCCCCAATTTCCCTTTCACTTCCTCTAATATATTCCTAGTTAGAAATAGAACTTAAAGTACATAATATACTATAAACTAAAGTTACAAGCTAATGGAGCCTTGATACGTTAGCTCATACCTCTATCTTCAAATAAGCTGACAGCAATAAGCTAATATATAAGTTACTTAGATATAGCTTTATTTATATATAGTAAACTATATACAATATACTACATGACATGTATAAAGTATCAAACTTATAAATAAAGCAAGGCTCAGCTGATGTTTAAATATATATTAAAAGACTTAACAATATATAAATAAAATATTATTAAATAAATACATTATAATATAAATACTATATAAAAATATTTTTTAATAAGAATTTAATTAGATAATTCAAACTTTTTTATATATTATTATATTACAAGTTTTAAATATTCAGAATAATATAATTAAATATAAAAAGAGTTTAAAAAAAAATATAAGATTTAATATAGAATCCCTATAGTATAAGATTTTATGTTCAAGTGATTATGACTTTTTAAGAATTCTTTTATTAAATAAATCTTTTAATTTTTATAAATAATTAAAATATCATTTGATTAGCTTTAAATATTCAATAATAAAGTAAATTGTTTTTATTATTAATTATAATATATTATTATTTAACAACTCAATGGTAATTAGCATTGCAAAAACTGTTCTTCTTATATAATAATAATATACAAGCTTGTCAAAATATTTATTTCAATTAATTTATAAAAAATTAAGAGAATTTATTAACAAAGAATTATTAAATTAATATTAAGATTTAAAGATAATTTTATTAAAGAAATTAGGAAGGAAATAAAATCAAATAAGATAATTGTAAAAGTAAAGGAAGTTGAAGTAATGTCTTTTTGTTAAAAAGAGTGAAATGGTTATTCTTATATATAGTTTGAAGTTGTACAATTATCTTTTGCTCACATATTAAAAATATTTCTTTACAAATCCATTTTTTGTTTTAAAATGAAAATTACTAAATTATTAATAATTCTATTATATAAAAAACCTTAGTAACTATAAGTAACTATATTCTCTATATTATTTTACCTATAGTTTAATAGAGCAACTTTAACTATTTAATTAATAAAATCTTTAAATATTTCATCTCAAAGATTGTTCACTATATAAAATCTATAGAAATTCAAAGGATTTTCACAATTTCATGAGTCAATCATGTGGTCACGTGATCTCTGAAGTCCAACTTTCTTGAATTATTATATTATTCCTTCCTATAAATAATATTTTCAATAATATTTTCATAAAATAATAGTAAAATAATGTTAAAAGAAGATAAAATAATAATATAAAAATATATAAAAACAATATAATATTATAGAATTTAATTATTATATAATACTATTTACAAATATTTTATATTAAAATTAAGATTTAACAAAAATATTAATAACTTGTTATATTTTAAATATATAGTGTTGTAAGTAATATTTTGATTATAGTATAAAGATTAATTGATTATTTTATATATAATATATTAAATTAATCAAATTTATCAAATTTAATTAAATTATATAAAAATACATACAATCTTTGATCTTTTTATTAATTAGAAATTGAACTTTGAATCGTACAATAATTATTATCTAGTTTGACCAAAAACTAAATAGAAAAAACTTTGATTAATTATTTATATAGTACTTTACAAATCTTTATAATAACTGAAATTCGAATTTAAGTTAGATTGTTTAAGTAATATCAAAGAATATATTAGATGAATTGATTCAATTAAATTTATAATATGTATACTGTTAAAATATATAGTATAAGTTTAATGTTTAATAAAATAAGATATCATATATCAGTTTATATTTTTAAAAGAATAATAATGACAAACAATAATTGATTATTATTAAACAAAAATTTTTATTGTAACTTTTAATAATAATTTCCGACTGCGTTGTTTTTGAGGCTACTCTTTTACCCGAGTATTCGTGTACAGTATTTCTCACATTATGGATGAGAACTGATATTAAGTAAATATTCGATAATTCATTATACTTAAGTTTCTCACGCCGTTGGTATCGATTTTATCGGTTTGTACATCTTATACCTTCGGTACACCATGAGTGCAACTGCAGACATGATTATTCCAAAAAAAAAACAACCTATTGCGACACCTGTAACCACTCCTACATCGGTTTTAGTAGTAACGTTATCGGTTGCAACAGGTGTTAGCTCAAAGAGATCAGTTGGATAATTTGATAATCCAATGGTCTTATAAAAACTGCCAGAAACAATATCACTCTTAGTCATTGGAACTCCTAAATCCACAATATCGAATTTAAATCCACAGATCCAGATTTTTCCTGTACCTAAAATAACAATGTTAAGTATATTAAAGTATCAACATTGAAGAGTTATAATGAAAGATCTAATTTATTTTTATATATAGGCTCACCATATAGATAACTACCAAAGGCAATTTTGATTGTGTCTTGAGGAACATCTAAAACATTTTTAACTTTTTGCCAATTAACACTGCCTACAATGATAATAATAGAACCCAGTTACTGTACATGTTAGAATTAACTTAAGCAAATATATATATTACCTTTTATAGGTGGGTCAGACATAGCTATAGTATAATTTGTCGTTCTATAAACTTGCAAAAACATACCAGCCGTCGCTTTGACATTCTAGATAAAAAAAAAAAATAGAAAAATAAGAATTCATTATGATCTCTCTAATGAGAAGGTAATTGATTCTTACGCTGGATTTCACGAAACCTGTTACTTGAACTCGTTTGCCAAAAAATTCTTGAGGAAAAAATGACTGAGATACGAGGGTTTCATATTGATCCGTAATATTATATTCAAATTTAGGGTCAGATTTCAGGAATATACTTCCAGACTATAAAAAGCACAATATGAAAAAATTCGCATTATTATTTTAAAACTAGAAGAATTATAAGAATCCTACCACAGTTGCATAATCAACACCCGACAGATAATATCCAGACGTATTGAGTTCCTTGAGATTCCATGTCGCTAAATAAAAGAACATATTTTGTTTTATTTAAAAAAAGTAGACAATTAACAGTTTCGGCTCATACCAGGCAAATTAGACGATGATTCGACATTAATGGAAAAAATGATAATGGAAATGTACAGGACCACTTTTAGTAAATTTAAGGGCAAGTTTCCCATTGTGAGTGAGAAAAGATTCCAAGTACTGTAATTCACTATTGATCGATTACATTTTATACAGTTGCGTGTGTACTAAATAATTCTGTTCTTTATCCCTTAAACCGTTAAGCGTAGGCCTATTTTTGTACATTTACTCAAGCCACACCTTAAGCTAAAATAAAAACATACCACATCCCGATTAAGAAATTATGTCCGAAAGTAACGCCCGATTTTTATAAAATCAGAAATTTATATGGTAAGTCGTTTTTTATTTATTTCTTGTTATGTATATACAGTGTGGTTCATAAGTATTCGGAATTGAAAAATTACTTGCCACGCCACAACCAATGACGTGTTTCACGTGATTTTTTACATTTCATAGACAAAAAGAAGTTAATTTTATTAAAATATTTTTAATACAATATATGCTTGCCATTGCCTTCTATAATAAGCTCACAATGTTGCTTCATAGATCTAATTAAATTAATTAGAGTAGACTTGGAGATATTTCTCCATGCACTTATTATAAAACAATACAGTTTATCTAAATTTTTTGGTATATACTTTTCCATATTGTTCTTGACAATACATCAAAAATTTTAAATAGGGTTTAAATTAAGACTGTTAAAAGATCAGTCCAAAATTTTAGACACAGTTTTTTCAAGAAATACCTTGGCAAGATAGCTTGTATACTTCAGATTATTACTTTGCTAGAACTACTATTTGTCTCCTAACAATTGCTCTATCTTTGGAATATGCTTATAAAGGATATCAACATAGAATTTGGCATCCATAATTTTAGAAAAGCAAAATAAACTACTTTTATTCTTTATACAGAATCCTCCCCACACAAAGATCTTCATTTGATCCTTGGGTATATGTCATATCGGTCATGTTCCCTTATACCAATGCTTCACTATATTCCAAAAGAGTTAAAAAGCTGCTCATCTGAAAAAAATGTATCGTTCCAATCATCATTGAGGTGCTTTCAGACCTACTCTACATGTTTATGCTTATAAGCCTTAGTAAGCATTGGAATTTTTAATGAAAGTACTTTTTTATATTCAAGGATATTCAAATGCCTTTCAACCATTTGATAAGATACTTTCATATTGATTTTTAATAACTTTGTTACTAAAGTTCTTGTTGAAATAGATGAATTCCTTTAAATATATTAATTTAATGCCTTTGATGCTCATACTGTTATCTTCTTAAGCCTATTTTTGTTTCCAACATGCTTATTCGTGTTGGATTTTTTGAGTTTATTGATATTATCATATATTGTAAAGAAGGATATATTGGTTATAGAGTGGATTTTTTTGACATTTTAAATATCCTGACTCCACAATTGTAAAATAAATTGACAATTGGTTTCTTATTTAGAAATTATTATTATACCCAAGAAAAAAAAATAAATGAATAATAGTACAAAGAAGTTTTATAAATACTCTCACTTTTAATGATTTTTTTCCATTTTAAATTATGAAAATTGGCCTTAATTTGGCAGAGTTACATATATTTTTTTTTTGTGGAAATTTTTTTAGATACTTATAAATCACACTATATATAAATTTTTTTTTCTAATTAATATTTTATAGGCCCTCCATTTGTATCTAATACTGCCTAAATTCTTTATAACGATGAATTAACAACCTTTCTTAAAATAGATATATTAAATTCTAACCATGCTTGATTTAGAGCTATTTTGAGCTCATCTATAGTTTGCAAAAAGTTTTTTTGCTTTTGAATATTTTTTATTAACAATTTTCAAATGTTTTCTATCAGATTAAGGTTTGAAGAATTTGCCAGCCAATCTATAATTTGATTTTTTTCTGTAGCAAACCATTTTTTAACAATTTTTACAATGTGAATTGAGATATTGTCATATTGAAACATCATATTTGGATTTTCTAATAAATGTACTATATTATACATGTGATGGAATTGAATTCAACCATTTTTCAAAAACCATATTATAGTAGAATTACTAAGTACAGTGCCAGCTGAAAGTAATGGCGGATGGTTTTTTTTAGATTAAATGATTTTTTTATTTATTAAAAAAATTTTTTTTTTAATTAA